GGGTCCGGGCTGGGGATTCGAACCCACCACCTTAGGTGTACGTGGCTGGCGCCTTAGCCGGTTGAGCTATAGGCGCCGAGCTGGGATTCTCATTATTAACAAGCTCCCCAAGTGATCCTGATGCAGGTGACCTATGGACCACATTTGAGATATGCTATACTAAAGTTGATGTTTCACCCCAGGCCTGCTACATGACCTTCAAACCCCTAGTGCAAGAAGTTTGTCAGGATGATGTCAAGTCCCTTGGATACAATACCCCAATCCACTTCCCGTCCTCATGCCTCTGTCCCTACCAAGTTGGACCAACCCTGAATATAACTGCTGAGGACCACCTTCAAGTCCAGGACCACCCCTCAGGGTGCTGAGGGAGGAAAGAGGAGTAGACCAGGGTTGCCTGGGTTTGGGGCAGGGAATCTTGAGCCCAGACAGCCCCTACTCCTCTTCCAGCCCCTGGCCCCACCTGTTCCCGGGCAGCACTGAACATGGGCTCCTGGATGTCTGTGTACATTCGGCGAAGGGCGTTATACCCTCCAGGGATGCTTTCGAGGTTGCTCAGGGCTCGGTCCTGGTTCCGCATCATCTCTTGCATCATGGCTGGATTCCGAGCAAGCTCCATTGTCTGATAAAGGGAGAGAGATAGGATGAGCCCTGGAGGGAGTACCAAACTGGGAGAAGGGTGGGCCCTGGGAGGGTGTCTGAGTCAGTGGCCAGGAAGAGAGTGAACTGGCCTTCCTAGGTCTGTTATAATCTGGGCACCAATCCTGCCTTCCATGGGTATTTGGTTGTCTTCTTCTAAAGGACAATGTTTAGGCAGTCCAAAGAAGTACCAGGAAGCACAAAGAAACTAAGTATAAAAGGACACAGGAGAACCAAGGCAGAAAAGAAAAGCACCTACTACATATGGAAATTGGGCCAAGTCATTACAGAACTCAAGTCATGTAATCCCCATAACCATCCAAGTTAGGTATTTCTGTTCCTATTTTTCTAATAGGCCTAGGTATTAGTTGACTTGCTGCCCTGGGACAGTCAGCTAGAGGTGGAGACAGGTTTCAAAGCCAGGTTGGTCTGTCTAACTAAAACCATACTGTGATTCCCACTAAATGATGAGTTGGGGAGGGAAAGGACTCAAGCTAGAACAATGCTACCCACACCCTCCAAGCTGCCACCTCCAGGTCTTAGGCCTGGCTAAATCTTGAGAAACACTGAGGATGGGTACTTTCCTCTTTGAAGCCAATGACTCATTATCAATAAGGAGTGATCTGTGTCAATCCCAGGGGAGTTCATGATAGAAAAAATGAGTGTATCTACTTGTTCCCTCCCAAACTGGAATACTTTCCTTCTCTTTCTTGCCAAATCTGCTCCATACATCCCTCTTCTAAGATAACCTCTACAGACAGATATACCCAGCTTCACAAGATTCTCATCTGTTTTCTTGTTTTCTTTCTTCTTTCTTTTTTTGTTTTGGAGATAAACTCTCACTTTACTGCCCAGGCTAGAGTGCTATGGCATCATCATAGCTCACAGCAACCTCAAACTCTTGGCCTTAAGTTATTCTCCTGCCTTAGCCTCCCAAGTACTTGGGACTATAGGTACCTGACACAACACCCAGCTAATTTTCTCTGTTTTGTTTGTAGAGACAATGTCTTGCTATGTTGCTCAGGCTAGTCTCAAACCCCTGGCCTCACTCAAGCAATCTCCTTGCCTCCCAGAGTGCTAGGATTACAGGCATCACTATTATATACCAGGCACTGTTGTAGACAGTCACCAAAAAGCTCAAAAGTCCTTATCCTTACAAAAGTGAATCCTTCCAGTGAGGCCAGCACTGGTGCTCATAACTCTGCTGGGAAGGTCATTGATCTGTTTCCATTGGTGGACTAGACCATGAAATGGAGCTTGTAAACCAACACCAAAATGACCTTCCATGAGTCTCCCTCCACCCCACTGGGCCCTTCTGAGACATAACACTCTCCAAACATCTTACTTGTACTTCCAGGCCTTTGCACTTGCCACCTCTTGGTCCTAAATACTATTTTCTTTTTCTCCCCCTGGCTCATTGTCTTCTTCCTCTCGGCTTAATGACACTTCCTCCAGAATGCATCCTCTAAGCCCCAGGGTTGGGTCAGGAGCCTTTATGCTCCTAGATCCTGTGATTACTCTTGTGATTGCATTGAACACGTGGTATTATAATTAGTTGCTTGTTTACTTGTCCCACTTCCCTCTGACACCAGGAATTCCTGAAAAGCTAGTCTTTAAAAAAAAAAAACAAAAAAGCTAGTCTTTTCATTACTATACACCCAGTGTTCTAAACACAGCTACTGAATGAATGAATGAACAAATTAATGTGAGATATGATAACAAAGGGCAGGGCTAGGTTGGGTGCCAGGTGTCCTCCCCACTCCAGCATTCCCTCATACCCACCTGCCTCATGAGCTCAGGGTTGTTGAGCATGTGGCTAATCTCAGGGTTCCGCTCCATCAGCTGCTGCATCTGGGGGTTAGCCATGATCATGTGGCGCATCAGATCAGGATTAGACATCATATCCTGGACCAGGGGGTTCTCCATGATCTGTGACAGCATCTCAGGGTTGGACATCAGCTGCCTTTGCATTTGTTGCTGCAGCTCCATGAAGTTGGCAGAGCCCAGGCCCAGGCTGCCCAGCCCCAGGATGCCCCCAAAGCCAGCTGTGAGGAGGTAGCAGGGTCACAGTCTGCCACAAGAGCACTTCCCTCACCTAGCCAGAGCCACTGAATCCAAGATGGCCCCAACTACTTCTCCCTCTTCCAGTCACTCCCACAGCCCCAGCCCTGAGCTGCTGTTGGCAGAAATGTGGGCCCACTAAACTGAGACTTCCCTGTTGGCAGAAGCTAAGCCAGGCTCAGAACTAGGCAGAGAGAAGGCAACAGTGATGGCCTTACTAATTTAAGTGAGTAAATGCTCCCATCTGCCCACTGTTGGATCCACCTTTTCCTTAGACTCACAGGTCTTTTCCCCCCCTCCCCCCGAGACAGAGTTTCACTATGTCACCCTCAGTAGAGTGCCATAGCATCAAAGCTCACAGCAACCTTGAACTCTTGGGCTTAAACAATTCTCTTGCCTCAGCCTACCAAGTAGCTGGGACTACAGGCACCCACTGCAACACCTGGCTATTTTTTGTTGCAGTTATCATTGTTGCTGAACTGGCCTGGGCCGGGTTTGAACCCACCAGTGTGGCTGGCGTCGGAACCACTGTGCTAGGACTCAAAGGTCTTCTTATCTCCTCAATCATGATTCCCCACACCTCCAGCCCCCCTTCTGCCCTCACTCTAACACAGCTATGCTTCCCTTCTCTGGGGATCCTCACAGGCTGGTTTCTTCCCCAGCTCTGCTCAAGTACCAAAGACTGGAACCCTATGTTGAAAGGTCCCCTGTCCCCATCAGACCAGGAGCAGGGACCAATGTTTCTCCCTCTTCTTGGCTTTCCCCCACTGCCCAGCACCATATAAGATTGTGTTATTCTCCCTGCTGACTTACAGAGTATGGATGCAGTAGCACTGGGGGGTCCCTCCCCAACTCCTGGGGAGGGACCCCCTCCACTGCTCCTCCGGCTTCCACTGCCAGCATCTGAAGTAGCACTACCAGAGGTGGAAGGCTGGGCAGGGGTGGTGGGTGAAGCAGGTGTGGTAGAGGGTGCTGAGGCAGGGTCAGGAGTAGAGGGGGAAGAAGCCGTGGTGATAGCTGGATCTTGAGCCCTGAGGACAGAAAAAGAAGAATCTTAGTTGGGATTAGTAGAAGAAGAGGGAAGATACCACAGTGATTTCTAAGTGCTGTGCAGCTACTGCCTAACCCAAGCCACTCCCAAGCAATCTCAAGGCTGGGGTGGGGTGATGCTGGTGGGCAGTCAGTAATCCAGGGAGAAGGAGAAAGAAGCCAGTGTCATCTGTCTTCAGGCTATTCTGGGAGTGGTAAGTCAGGTTCCCTACCTCAGGAGATGATATCATATCTACCCAGAAGCCACCTCCCTGAGCCTGGACCTAGGCATACCCTCTAGGTACAGAGAAAGCATCACATGGGGAAGCATCACATGAGCCTTCTCCTCTCCTGAACTTACTTCTGAGGGGTCTTGATAACCAAATGGACAGTGAGCCCATCCTTGATTCCATGCTGGTTCAGTGTGTCTCCATCCTTGAGGATCTTGCCTGCGAAGATCAGGACCAGTTGATCCTGCTGAGCTTTAAACTTCCGTGAGATTTCCTCTTTGAACTGTGATGAAGAGGCAGAGGTCACTGTGGAGGCTGCCTGGTATCCACTCATCAGGAACCCTGCCTCTTCTTTAAGAGCCTCAGCATTCTCTTGCTCCCATCTCTAGTCATGGATGACCTTTCTGCAGTCTCAACTCTATCCCTCCAGGTGCAATAAGCATCCCCTTTCTTCTTTCTTTTTTTTTCCTCACTTAATCAGGCCCAGGCAAGGTTCAAATTTGCTGCCCCCTGACTTGCAGGGCTGGAGCTCTAACTACTGAGCTATATAGCGCCCAGCTAGCATCTCCTTTTTTTTTTTTTTTTTGAGACAGAGCCTCAAGCTGTCGCCCTGGGCAGAGTGCCGTGGCATTAGGGCTCACAGCAACCTCCAACTCCTGGGCTCAAGCGAGTCTCCTGCCTCCACCTCCCAAGTAGCTGGGACCACAGGCGCCCGCCACAACGCCCGGCTATTTTTTGGTTGCAGCCGTCATTGTTGTTTGGCGGGTCCGGGCTGGGGATTCGAACCCACCACCTTAGGTGTACATGGCTGGCGCCTTAGCCAGTTGAGCTATAGGTGCCAAGCCAGCATCTCCTTTCTTAACCAAGGAGATGGACCAGTATGAGGCTCTTCTTTCAGCTCCATCCAATAGTCTCCCACCCTAAAAATCTCTTGCTGCTATCTGCTACCAGCTTCAGTTCCTCCACCTAGTTCCCTGTAAGGGTACTGCCTGAGCAGCCCTCCACATCCCAGCTCTATCAACAGCCTTGGACCCAGGCCCCCACTCCCTTTAGCTTTCTCTTCTCAGACCCAAGTCTCTCTCCTCTCTATTCCCATTGTTCTCATAACAACTACCACCTCAAGCAAGATCCTAGTTACTGAGCACTATTCATTATTATCATCTCCCTTTTAAAGATGAGAAAATGGATCCAGCGTGGTGGCTAACACCTGTAATCCTAGCACTCTGGGAGGCCAAGGTGGGTGGATTGCCTGAGCTCACAGGTCAGAGACCAGCCTGAGCTAGAGTGAGACCTCGTCTCTAAAAATAGCCAGGTGTTGTGGCAAGCTCCTGAAGTCCCAGCTACTTGGGAGGCCGAGGCAAGAGAATTGCTTGAGCCCAAGAGTCTGAGGTTGCAGTGAGCTGTGATGCCATGGAACTCTAGTGAAGGTGACAAAGTGAGACTCTGTCTCAAAAAAAAAATAGTGGGCCTGGCCCCACAAAATCTAAGTAGAAGAGCAAGGAGAGAAGCCAACAACATGTGAGCCTGACATCAGAGGAGGCCCCAGACATGCCAGCAATCCAAACTAGAGGATCATGATACAGTGGTCATTGTCCTGGACAGTGTTGGCATCCAAGGAAGAGGGGTATCCAGCCATGAATGGGAGGTGGCTTTCAACTTGATGGCCAACCCTACTCCATGAGAGTGATTGTCTGGGGTCCAGCATAAAAGAGGAGGATCCTGAAGTTGCACCCATGACCAGTGGGGAAGATTGACAGGCTCACTGGTACTGTTTGCATGGACCTAAGGAAGGGAGGGAGAGTGTGCATTAGCCACTCTCCTTTGCACAGTGCTGCAAATTTGGAGTTGGATGGACAACAGAATTCACAATTCCAGAGCTCCTTCTGCGAGGAGGAGAAAATCTCCAGAAGCCAAGGTGGAAAAGGGTAATCTGGCCTTCGTGCCAGAATGGGCTGGCCTACTTCATGCAGTGGGTCACACAGTGGACAGCTCGGGACAGCTTTCTTTTGGGTACCTAGAAGATATATCGGGAATTCAGCACAGAGGTACACATAGTCATGAGATGGGGTAAAAGGAGATATGATCACAGTAAGTCTTAAACTCTATGGGCTCACCTCACACAACTTCAGCTACTAGGCTCGTTGCAACCAGACAAACTGATAAATTGCAGAACCCACTCATTAGTGGAGCAGAGCATTTGACATAAGGACAGGCCTGTACCGCATCTGCACAGGAGGCCTTAGCAACTGCAGGGCACAGGGCTGCCAGGGCAGGAATTAACAAGCATTGAGATCCCATCTGTATCATCTTTAACCTAGGTAAGGCCTCCCAGCCTCCAGGTTTATTCCACTCCAGTTCCTCATTACTAAAATTGCCAGAATGTTCTGTCTAAAGCATACTTGTCATCCTGATAGCTCCTTTTTAAGATTCTTTAATGACCCTCTTTCACCTGAAACTCTAAGACCCCCTCCCCCAAAATAAAATAAAGTTGAGAAAATGGACAAATAGAGAGATTAAGTAACTAGCTCTGACAAGACTGGAACTCAGGTCTTAACACCAAAGTCCAGGCTTTTAACCAGGCATGTTGCCCCTCAATGAGAGCTGTTTTCAAATTCAGCTTTGCAGGGTATAGTGCAGTATTTAAACTATAAAATTTAGTTATTTTACATGGTTGAGGAGGGAGCATAATGGCTCCAAGGGCTTGCTTGGGGAGAGTTAGAGCTCTTGAATTCTATCAGCCCTTCCAAAACAAAACAAAAGGAAATGCACACTCTAAGTAAAACAGTGCACTTGTTAAGCAAATGCAGCCCCAGATTTTCCAACCAGATTGCCCACCTCAAGCCCCGCCTCTGTGAAATTCTGGAGCAGTCACTGGGAGTGAGTGAAGAACCCAACCAAGAGTCCTCATTCACTCATTCAACACAATTTTATTGAGCACCTACTGCACACCGGTAGATCTCCCAAGAACTGATAGGCAAATGTAACCTCTTCATTTACAGATCTAGGCTGAAGGGAATCCTACCCCGCCGACCCTACCCCATTTTCTGGGTCCGCACCTTGCCCAGGACCTCTACTCTGCATGCTCCCCTCCAACCCACCGTTCTCCTGGCTCCCCTGCGCAAGGTGCTCCCTCCTGCGCTCCACCACGCCCCCAGCCCTGGCCGATCCGCAAAACCCGCCCCCCAACACGCGCCATGTTCCCCAGATCTACCCTCAGAAGGCGGCCCCCTATCCGCCTGTCAGCCCTTCCAGCGTCCGCGAGTCCCAGCGGGCCCCCGCTCTTGCCCAGGGGCCCTCCAGGACGCCAGAGCGTCACCGAGGCCCCCATTTCTTCATACATCCCTCCTTTGCGCTCCCCTCGCCCCCCAGCCAGCCGTACTACCTCCTTGACCGAGGCTCGGTCACAGATCACAATCTCCTCCTTGTCCTTGGGGGTCTTGACGGTGACTCGAATGGGGGGCCTCGTCTCGGCCGCGCTCGGCTCCGCCATGCCGCCGCCGCTACCCGGCCGCCCGCCAGCCCGCCGGGCTCCTCCTCCTCCCCGCCCGCCCAGCCGGCCCAGCTCGGCTCTGGCGCCTCCAACACTCCCCTTTCCCCTCCCTCCCCTTCCCTAGGCTTCACCGCCCCCTCCAGACCAGCCGCAGCCACAGCGCCCCGGGCGGACTGGGGGGGCCACTGCAGCGTGGGCCGCCCAGGGCCGAGCCCGGGTCCCAAGACCGGTCGGGGTCTCACTAGGCGGTGCAGCCGAGGCGCCCTAGGCCGGGAGGGTGTGTCCCTCGTGGCGGGGGCGGGGAGCATTCTAGCTGGCTGGAGCCGCTATCCCTTCAGGCCTATCCTCCCCGCCCCCTCCGCTGTTAACTCCCCGCTCTGGGACAAAGGACTTTCTGTGCCACTGCTTTATCTGCCTGCCTGTGCTAACTTGGTCTGTCTTAGGAGGCCCAAATCGCTCCCAGGCCTGCGGCCTTTCCGAACTTAGAGGTTGGGTTTTCCCGCTGCCCTGCGGCTACTTCAGATCTCACCTCTAGAACTGACCCCGTTCCTTTAAGGGCCGTGGCCTTGTCTAGTAAGTGCGGTCCCGAGCCCTGGGTTTGCCCACGTGGCCTTTCTGAGCTGTGGTCTCTCAAGATAATAGCACCTCCCGCTTCATCTCACAGAATCGTGCATAGCGAGGAGCAGTTTGAAAACACCCAAAGGTGTGCCTGACAAATTCGAGCAATTTTATTCTTATTGAATCGTAGACTGCCAAACGGACATGATGACTTTCTTCTCCACGAAGGAGTTAAAAGTCCTTCCACCACTGTCACTGTCCTTCCTCTCCCGCTCTTTCCACCCCATCGCCGCGTGGGCGGACTAGAAAGGTGAACTACAGTTCCCAGGGTGCCTCTCCAGGGCCACAGGAACTACAATTCCCAGCGCCCTCCGCGGCGAGGCGGGACTGAGTCGGAACCACAGCAGCCAGGCCTCTGACCCCGACTCCCAGGGCGCTCCCAAGCTGGGTGGCTGGACTACTGGGAGCAAGCAATTGACAGCAGCCCGCAGGAGGCAACTCGGAAGATCTGGGTATAACAGCTCAGGGTTAGGAGTCACAGGCATGCTGCGTCCCAAGGCTTTGACCCAGGTGCTAAGCCAAGCTAACACCGGAGGCGTCCAGAGCACCCTGTGAGTGCGAACCAGAGCGGCGAGTTCTGCTGCGGGGTGGCGCCCGCCTCTCCGGGGGGCGGGAGACGGAGAAGGAATGCGGAGAAGGGAAGGGGCAGCTGCTCGGTGAACCGACCGGGAAGTCCTGGGAGCAAGCGTGTTGGGTGTTCGGGGCACGTTTCAGTACACAGTCAGCCTTCCTTCTTGGAAGTGCCACTGGCGGGATTTGGAGTGGAACGCAGGCGTTTTACTCTCTATTCTGAAAACATTGATTTCCCTCCTGTTCTCTCGCTAGGCTGCTGAATAATGAGGGATCGCTGCTGGCCTACTCAGGTTATGGGGACACCGACGCCCGGGTCACCGCAGCCATCGCCAGTAACATCTGGGCTGCCTACGACAGGAATGGGAACCAAGCGTTTAATGAAGACAATCTCAAATTCATCCTCATGGACTGCATGGTATGGAGAAGGGAGCTAGACTTCCCCGGTCCCCCAAGGGAATCCCAAGGGGGCAAATTGGACCACATCCTGGATGGTTGGAGGGGCAGGGACAGGTTGCGGAAGAGTACTAAAAGTTGAGCTACAGCAGCATTTGTAATAGGCGAGGACCTTACACATCAAGTGGTGGTGAGGAAGGAGCCCTGGGGCTGAGGACTGAGGCCCTCCTTGGGTTCTGGTCTCAGCCATCCACTTATCAGTGTCGAACCTTGGGTAAGTCACCTAATCTCTCTGAATTTCCTTGCCTCCTCTCTAAGGAGGAAGCAGTAACTTCATCCTTCCCCTCATAGGGCTACTGTGAAGATCATATGAAAGAATAGATATAAACTATAAAGTACAAATACTGAATGTTGTCATTCTCACTTCACTGGCTCACAGAACCTTAGCAGAGTCTCCAGACTCTACTCAAACCCTTTCAGTTTACAAAGGAAATTTCCAAAAAGAGGAAGTAGACTGTGAACTCTGTGGAAGCAGGGACTGTATCACCTTTGTGTATCTTCAGTCAACAAGTATTTAGGCCCCTGCAATATTCTCAGGACTAGGGAAAAAGTAGCAAACAGGACAGACAAAACTCCCAGCCCTAATGAAGCTTACAGTCTTACATGTTTTAAAATAAGTAAAATAGGCTCAGCGCCTGTGTCTCAAGTGGCTAAGGCACCAACCAAAAAAAAAAAAAAAAAAAAATAGCCAGGCGTTGTGGCAGGTGCCTGTGTCCCAGCTACTTGGGAGGCTGAGGCAGGAGACTCGCTTGAGCCCAGGAGTTGGAGGTTGCTGTGAGCTGTGATACCACAGCACTCTACCCAGGGGGATAGCTTGAAGCTCTGTCTCAAAAAAAAAAAAAAAGTAAAATACATAGTATGTTTAAGTATTGAAAATGCAGAGAAAAAAAAATAGAAAAGTGAGAATTGGGGAAGCATCTGTCAGGCACAGGTGACATTTGATCAGAAATCTGGGGCAAGCTGTTTTGTTATGTGGAAGAAGAACATTTCTGAGAGAACAGCAAGTACAAAGGCAGAATGATGCTTGGTCAAGGATGAAAATGATTAGTATGGTGGGCGGCGCCTGTGGCTCAAGGAGTTAGGGCACTGGCCCCATATGCTGAAGGTGGTAGGTTCAAACCCAGCCCTGGTCAAAAACAGCAAAAAAAAAAAAAAAAGATTAGTATGCCTGGAGTTACATGAAAATGGGGGAAGCCTGAGAGACAGTGCTTGGTTCCCAGCATGCAGTGGCTGCCTGACAAAGGTTTGCCAAATCAGATCAAATAGGCTGTCAGGTGGACTCTGCAGAAAGGATGTTCACTGCGGCTCAGCTACCATTCTTCTCTACCCTCTACCCAACCAATGCCATTTTGGTTCAACAGATAATTCTTCAACTAGAGTTCTAGCCTAAAGTTGGTGCTATGGGGCAATATCTTTCACACATTTTGACTACAAGCCAACCATAAGAAATACTTCTTTTATTTTTAGAGATGGGGTCTATGCTGTGTTGTCCAGGCTGGCTTTGAACTCCTGGGGTTAAGTGATCCTCCCATCTCAGCCTCAGTACTTGAGACTATAGGCAAATGTCACTGTGCCAAGCTAGACATTCATTTTAAGCTGGAGCCCAGTACACACATACATCCCCTAAAACAAAAGTTTCATGAAATAGTACTCCCCTGCTACATGCAGTGTCTCCATTTCTTTTTTTTTTTTTTTTTCTTTTTGGCCAGGGCTGGGTTTGAACCTGCCACTTCCGGCATATGGGGCTGGCGCCCTACCCTTTTGAGCCACAGGTGCTGCCCTCTTCTTTATCATTTTCTTTTTGAGACAGCATCTTACTTTGTTACCTTGGGTAGAATGCCATGGCATCATCATAGCTCATAGCAACCTCAAACTTCTGGGCTCAAGCGATCCTCTTGCCTCAGCCTCCCAAGTAGCTGGGACTTAGGATTATAGTCCCCCACCATTGCACTCTACTGAGGGCCACAAAATGAAACTCTATCTTAAAAACAAAAGTACTGATCAGACTGGGCATGGTGGCTCATGCCTATAATCCTAGCACTCTAGGAGGCCGAGGCAAGTGGATTGCTGGAGCTCAGGAGTTTGAGACCACCCTGAGGCAGTCTCTAAAAAAAAAAAAAAAAACAGCCAGGTGTTGTGGTGGGCACCTATAGTTCCAGCTACTTGGGAGGCTGAGGCAACAAAATCACTTGAGTCAAAGAGTTTCAGGTTGCCATGAACTATGATGCTATGGCACTCTACCAAGAGTGACAAAGTAAGATACTGTCTCCAAAAATAAAAATAATGAAATAAAATACTGATCAACCTGAATTTATCTCCTAGTCATGAGATCAAATCCACATTACCATGGGAAAGAGAAATTAATTGGGTTGTTGCTCCCTCACCCTTCTCAGTGTCTTTGGGGCCAGCCCATAACAACACCTATTTGGACCTTGGCAAACACAAAACTTTTTTTTTTTTTTTTTTTTCCAGTTTGGCGGGGCTGGGTTTGAACCCACCACCCTTGGTATATGGGTCTGGCACCCTACTCATTGAGCCACAGGCACCACCAAACACAAAACTCTTATGTGTATAAGCACCCTCACTGACTGGGGTGAGGTAAGTTTTATGGAAAGAGAAACTAAGTTTCTGGGAGTTTCCTAGGGTAACTGAGTTAGGTGGCTATGCTAAGGCTGGAACTTGGGCTCAGAATCTCATGTCCAGGCCAGGCATGGTGGCTTATGCCTGTAATCCTAGTACTCTAGGAGGCTGAGGCAGGTGGATTGAGTTCAAGAGTTCAAGAGCAGCCTGAACAAAGCAAGACTCTGTCTCTACTAAAAATAGAAAACCTTAACTGTGCATTGTGTTGGGCACCTGTAGTCCTAGCTGCTTGGAAGGCTGAGGCAAAGAGAATCACTTGAGCCCAAGAGTTTTGAGATTGCTATGAGCTGTGATGCCACAGCACTCTACCAAGGGCAACATAGTGAGACTCCATCTCAAAATAAATAAATAAATAAATATTTAAAAAAAGAAAGAAAAAGAAAAACTGAGGTAAGAGGATTGCTTGAACCCACGAATTGGAGGTTGCTGTGAGCTATGATGCCACAGCACTCTACCCAGGGTGACAGCTTGAGACTCTGTCTCAAAAAAAAGCACCTCTTCTCCAGGGCTGTGGCTAAAGTTTTCTAACTGGACCTTCTGCTATGCCAAGGGTATAGAAGGAAGACAGAATCTCTCTGGGGCCAGAAGAACCCGTGGAGAAAGCAGAACTAAATGTGCTGAGCAGAACATCACACCCCAGGCCAGGTGCAGTGGCTCACACCTATAATCCTAGCACTCTAGGAGGCTGAGGCCGGTGGATTGATTAAGCTCGGCAGTTTGAGACTAGCCCGAGCAAGAGTGAGACTCCATCTCTAAAAACTAGCCAGGTGTTGTGGCGGGCTCCTGTAGTACCAACTGTTGGGGAGGCTGAGGCAAGAGAATCGCTTAAGCC